AGCGTTCTGTAGTATTCTCCCATGCATCTCAATATAAAAACTGTAATTCAAGAAAATTGGAAACAAATGCGTTAGATTTTTTAATTCATTAAATTTTTTAAAAATTAACAATCAAGCGACTGCATGAAATGTTGTAAAAAAGTGAAAAAAACCTGGAAAATTGGCCATCCGACAGACTGCAGAGCATAGATGACTCGTTCTCTTGAGGTACCCTTAGCAGTAACAAAAGCATATGTTGTGTGAGATGAGAGGTCGACAGCAAAACCAATACTCATTATAATGGAAATCATGGATACTGCATCCAAATTTACACCCCATAATGTCATGTAACCAAATACTCCCGTATTAATGGAGATTATGGATGCGATGATCAATACGCCTGAAAAAACCCTACTTTTTAAAAGCAGAATATCTAAAAAAAAACAAATAAATGTATAGAAGGACGCATTTTTAGCATTCCGTAGACGTTATAAAACGCCGGGTATTTTCCAAAATTAGCACTCGGGCAAGTTTTACAATAAGTCAACAAGAGGGTCAAAGATGAAGGGCAGTTATGCGTTTGTACGACAAGCATAGTAGTGGCAGCTTGCTAAATGCACCAACATACGTAATGCTTTCTCACAACTGGCTTTTAACCAATCCATAGTTTCGGGATCCACAGTTTATTCAGTTCTGAAGTTATTTGGGAAATAAGTCCTTGCGTTTTTTTTTTCTTTTTTTATAAAATCAAAATCATTAATAAAACGAAAAATAGATCAGTCGTTGGTGCGTCCTTCTTTACTGATCACATATTTCTCCCAGTTCAGCCACCAAGTCGCTGCCGAATGGATGTGCACATTATCATGCATGTCTGCATATTTATGCAAATGCGAATGCGCATATTGGCGAGAGTTTGTCTGTATGTGTGTATGGTTGTGTGCATGCGTGTATGTGCGTATGTATTCGCTGCTCTGTCATCCAGTTTCAACTCAGCAACCAGTTAAGCTAGGAAGCTGAAATTCCTAGAGCATGTTCTCACTCCAATAAGTGCGGTGCTCCACCATTGAAATCATGGTCGTCCGACGTGTGGATCTCACGTACAGGGACCTTAAAAGATTTATTCAAACTTTGAAGGGAAAGCGATTCCCGAAACCAAGCAAATTGGGAAGCTGGAACTTCGCAAGAACATACTATACTCTCAGGTATGTTGATGATTTTAAATCAGCTCGAAAGCACGCGTAGTTTTTTTGATTACAGACATGTCAAAATTACGATTTTGCAATAACTGCCAAAATGCTAACTTGAAACTAAGCTGAGTAGATTATTTCAATTTTACGAACATATTTGCTGTAAATGTATGGTTCCGACCTTACGCCTGTATCATGTATACAATTATATCAAAACATTTTTGGGGAGAAGCGATTTCGACAGCTAGCTGAGCTAGGAAGCTGAAATTTTCTGAGGATATAACGTTGCATGGCAGGAACAACTGAAATTCATTTTACACACAACTCCAAATCTCGCGTATTAGCAGGTGACACTTCTAGTAGGAGTACTGTTGGCATTCATTTTACTCGAGATTCAGACTACGCGGGCAGCTGCACTTTCACGCAGATATTCACTGTTCATGTGCGAACCCGTAAGCCTAAAACTGGCATCTGCGGCTGATTGGATAAATTAAGTGATGCTTGCTGTGGGCAATC